CCGTTATAGGGAGGTAAAAAGTCCGTTATAGGGAGGTAAAAGTCGTTATAGGAGGTAAAAGTCCGTTATAGGGAGGTAAAAGTTCGTTATAGGGAGGTAAAGTCCGTTATAGGGAGGTAAGATCCGTTATAAAGGGAGGTAAAAGTTCGTTATAGGGAGGTGGGGTCGTTATAGGGAGGTAAAGGTCCGTTATAGGAAGGTAAGGTTCGTTATAGGGAGGGTAAAAGTCCGTTATAGGGAGGTAAAGTCCGTTACAGGGTAAAGTCCGTTATAGGAGGTAAAAGTTGTTATAAGGAGTAAAGGTCTGTTATGAGGAGGTAAAAGTCCGTTATAGGGTAAAGTCCGTTATAGGGAGGTAAAGTTCGTTATAGGAGGTAAAGTCCGTTATAGGGAGAGTAGAAAGTCCGTTATAGGGAGGTAAAAGTCCGTTATAGGGAGGTAAAAGTCCGTTATAGGAGGTAAAAAGTCCGTTATAGGGGTAAAAAGTCCGTTATAGGGAGTAAAGTCCGTTATAAGGAGGTAAGAGATAGGTGAAAAGTACAAGTGGTGACCATAAGACGTTTAGGAAGATCAAGTGGTCTCCTATGGTCTCCTTGGTCTCCTGTGGTTTCCTATGGTCTCCTGTGGTCTCCCTATGGTCTCCTATGGTCTCCCTATGGTCTCCTGTAGTCTCCTATGGTCTCCTGTAGTCTGCTATGGTCTCCTGTGGTCTCCTGTGGTCTCCTATGGTCTCCTGTGGTCTCCTATGGTCTCCTGTAGTCTGCTATGGTCTCTTATGTTGTCTCCTATGGTCTCCTGTGGTCTCCTATGGTCTCCCTATGAGGTCTCCTATGGTCTCCTGTAGTCTGCCTGTATTCTCTTATGGTCTCCTATGGTCTCCTGTGGTGCTCTTGTGGTCTCCTGTGGACTTGTATGGTCTCCTGTGATCTCCTGTTGTCTCCCTATGGTCTCCTGTGGACTCCTGTGGTGTCCTGTGGTCTGGTGTCTCCTATGGTCTCCTGTGGTCTCCTATGGTCTCCTGTGGTCTCCTATGGTCTCCTGTGGTCTCCCTAAGGTCTCCTGTGATCTCCTATGGTCTCCCTATGATCTCCTGTGAACCTCCTGGTCTCCTGTGGTCTACTGGTCTCCTGTGATCGCCTATGGTCTCCTGTGGTCTCCCTATAGGTCTCCTGTAGTCTGCTACTATGGTCTCTTATGGTCTCCTATGGTCTCCTATGGTCTCTGTGGTCTCCTGTGGTCTCCTATGGTCTCTGCTGGTCTGCTATGGTCTCTTATGGTCTCCTATGGTCTCCTGTGGTCTCCTATGGTCTCCTGTAGTCTTTGGTCTCCTGTGGTCTATGGTCTCCTGCTTGATCTCTATGGTCTCCTGTGGTCTCCTGTTGTCTCCCGTTGTCTCCTATGGTCTTGTGTGGTCCACCGTCTCCTGTGGACTTGTATATGGTCTCCTGTGATCTGTTGTCTCCTATGGTCTCCTGTGGTCTCCTATGGTCTCTGTCTCCTCAATTCTCCTGTGGTCTCCTGTAGTCTCCTGTGATCTCCTGTGGTCTCCATGGTCTCCTGTGGTCTCCTGTGGTCTCCTGGTGTCTCCTATGGTCTCTGGTGTCTCCTATGGCCTCCTGGTGTCTCCTGTGGTCTCCTGGTGTCTCCTATGGTCTCCTGTGGTCTCCTGTGGTCTCCTGTTCACTCTCCTATGGTCTTCTGTGATCTCCTATGGTCTCCTATGGTCTCCTGTGGTCTCCTGGTGTCTCTGTGGTCTCCTATGGTCTCCTGGTGTCTCCTATGGTCTCATGTGGTATCCCTATGGTCTCCTGTGGTCTCCTGTGGTCTATGGTCTCCTGTGGTCTCCCTATAGTCTCCTGTGGTCTTTGGTCTCCTATGGTCTCCTGTGGACTCCTATGGTCTCCTGTGGTCTCCTACCAGTCTCCTGTGGTCTCCTGTGGTCTCCTGGTGTCTCCTATGGTCTCCTGTGGTCTCCTCTGTGGTCTCCTATGTCTCCTTACTGAGGAGTACTCCTGGTCTCTCCACTGGCGAACGTTAGTCTGGCAGTGGTTAGCCTATTTGTCGTTAGTTTCATTCCTTCCCACTTTCTTTCCTTCTCCTTCTCTCCCTCCTTCTCTCCTCCTTCTCTCCTCCTTCTCTCCCTCCTTCTCTCCTCCTTCTCCCTCCTTCTCTCCCTCCATCCTCCTTTCTCTCCCTCTCACCCCTCACCTGTAATTACTCTATCTACCTGAAATTACCTAACTATCTAAATTACTCTTCTACCAAATTACAACTATACCTGTAATTACTCTATCTACCTGAAATTACCTAACTATCTACCTGTAATTACTCTATCTACCTGATGCCTAACTATCTACCTGTAATTACTCTATCTACCTGAAATTACCTAACTATCTACCTTAATTACTCTATCTACAAATTACCTAACTATCTACCTGTAATTACTCTATCTGCACTGAAATTACCCTACTATCTACCTGTAATTACTCTATCTACAAACTACAACTATCTACCTGTAATTACTCTATCTACCTGAATTACCCTAACTATCTACCTGTAATTACTCTATCTACCTGAAATTACCTAACTATCTACCTGTACTCCTATCTGAAAGTGCCTAACTATCTACCTGTATTACTCTGTCTCAATACCTAACTATCTGCCTGTATACTCTACCTAACTATCTACCTGTAATTACTCTACACAAGTCCTAACTATCCTGTAATTACTCTATCTACCTGAAATTACCTAACTATCTGCACCATTACTCTATCTACAAGTACTATCTACCTGTAATTACTCTATCTACAAATTACCTAACTATCTACCTGTAATTACTCTATCTACCAAAGTACCTAACTATCTACCTGTAATTACTCATCTACCTGTATTACTCTATCTGACCTTACTAACTATCTATAATTACTCTCTACACTGAAATTACTATATCTACTAGCAATTACTCTATCTACGAAATTACCTAACTATCTACCAAGTACTCTATCTACCTGAAATTACCTAACTACCTGTATTACTCCTATCTGCCTGAATTACCTAACTATCTACCTGTATTACTCTATCTACCTGAAGTGCCTAACTTCTACCTGTATTACTCTGTGCCTAACTATCTGTAAATTACTCTATCTACCTGAAATTATCTAACTCTACCTGTAATTACTCTACCTGTAACTACCTATAACCCGTAATTATAAACCATTGTCTAGTTATAGGTTAAGGTATAACTATATACATTCTTGCGTTATACTCGTTAATTAATTATCTCTACAGGTAAGCAGGTGCAGTGACGTCACGGGTATACAGGAATAAGTGTGACGTATCTATGACGACAATAACAATAATAATAATAATAACAATAATAATGTACTTTCTCTGTCTCTCAATATCTCTATCACTGACTCTTTCTCCCTTCTCTCTCTCTCTCTCTCTCTCTCTCTCTCTCTCTTTGTGTCCATCTCTCTTTCTCTCTGCCCACACACACACACACACACACACACACACACACACACACACATGTTGTCATCACCAGAAATATTGATGTGGTTTTGTATTGATCCGGATTCAGTGGATTCACAGCCTGAACTTCTTGGAAAATGGATTACGAAATAGTGATGGTGGTGTGGTGGTGATTGTGGTGGTAGTGGTGGTGTGGTGGTGGCGTGGTGGTAGTGGTGGTGTGGTGATGATAGTAATAATGACAGTATTACAATTTGATTTTTTACACACTATCAGCCTTCCTATAGCCACACCTTCGCCATTACCTTGAAATTAAATATCGTAATACAGTACTACTATTTTACTACAAGTACTAAATTTTTACCCACAACATAAACAACAACAACAACAACCCCCTACCTAACCTAACCTAGCACTACCTAATCTAACCCCCCCCCTACCCTACCTACCTACCTAACCTAACCTAACCTACCCTACCTAACAACTTCAACCTAGCACTACCCTAACCTAACCTACCTAACCTAACTGCACTTAACCTAACAACCTAACACACCACCTAACACCTACCTACTACCTAACCTACCCTACTAACCTACCTAACCTACCCTAACCTAACACCACCCTACCCCACCCCTAACACCAACCTACCCTACCCCACCCACCTACCCCTACCTACCCCCTACTAACCTAACCTACCCCAACCCCAACTGCCCTAACCTACCCTAACCTACCTAACACCTAACCCCTGCCCCACCCTACCCCTACACCCACTACCCTACCCCTACCCCACCCCCACTCTAACCTACCTACCCCTACCTAACCCCTATCTCCTACCCTACCCCTAACCTAACCTGCAACCAACCTACACCCACCCACCTGCTACCCTTAACCCCCTGCCCTACCCCTAACTAACCTTACACCTAACCTGCCTCCCCTGCCCCTACCCCTGCCCCTAACCTGCCCCTGCCCTAACCTAACCTAGCACTAACCTACCCCTACCTACCCCACCACCCCTACCCAACCCCTACACACCACACCAACCAAACCCCCCACCCCCACCACCCCTACCTACCCCCTACCCCTACCACCCCTACCCTACCCCTAACACACCCCTAACCCCTACCCCTAACCACTAACCCACCCTACCCTAACCTACCCTCCTCCATGTCATATTTTATTAATTTAGGTAAATGTGCAAGCATTAACCTGATGAGTCTACGCTCCAGCTTATTGGACCTGAAAATTGGCTTAAAGACAACCTAACACTAACTTAACACCCAGCAACCTAACCCAGCTTCAACCTAACTTGCACTAACCCAGCACAACCTGGCAACTTCTTGCTAACTGCCCCAACAACCTGACTTCTTCAACCTAACTGACACTAACTTCAACCTAACCTTCTTCTTCTTTAACTAGCTTCTTCTTAGCCTAGCCTTCTTCTTCCTTTGTAACTTCTTTACTGTACTTCTTCAAACACCTAACCCTTCTTCAGCACCTAGCTACTGGCAATGACTTTAGTTTCCAGA